GGGGGGGGGGGGTTCGGCAGGTAGGGAGTATAGGGGATCCAATGGTATCTAGGAGGCCTGGATACCACAGTGGCTCACCTTGAACTGCTCCTCGGATGCGATGAGCACTGCATGGCCACCCTGCATGTCCGGTGCCTGGGCCAGGTCCTGAGAGGCCTCATAGGGCTCAGGCAGTGGGCGGCCACGCCCATCCAACACAGCAATGGCCACCACCGGTGCACGATGCATTAGCTGCACCTCCTTGCCCAGCACAGCCTCCACCACCCGCTCGGGCCGCTTCTCGCTGCCTGCCACTGCCGCTGGCACCTCCAGCGCATAGGCAAACACAGAGCCCGAGTTGGTGCCTGCCCACATGGTGGGTCCATGGTGGGCTGCTGCAGGGCAACAGGCTGGTGAGGCAGGTTGTCTGCCCATACACAACAGCTTCCTCCCCTCCTCTCCTGACACTCTGAGACCCAGGACTGGTTCTCTCCTGTCCCACTTGGGGACCTCGGCCAGCCTTGTTGCCTTAGGCAACCTCTCTACACTGCTGACCACAATCAGAGCCTCAAATGCTACTCTCCTGAAGAGGCAGGAACAGCCTCTTGGGAATTTCTGTGGGGACGTCAATGGCACACAAATGACGCTGACCTCTCCAACCCTACCCACTGTACCCTAGGCCCCATCTCAGTTACACAGTCCCATCACAAAACCCCAGCTCTCTCCCAACCCCACATCCCATCACCAGCCCTGGCAACACGCATGGAATGGGGCTCTCACCCCTAAGGTGCATCAGGATCCCGACCACACCCAAATTCACCCCCACCCCTCCCTTTCAGTGTGTCCTCCATGCAGCAGTCAGATACAAAGTCTCAGGCCTGGGCTGAAATGAACTGAGACCACCTCGCCGGCTCTCCCTATGTGAGCTGAACCTCTGGGGAAGACCCTTTAGTGGAGAATCAGACTCAAAACCCAGGAGCCAAGGTGGGCCTAAGCAGTCATGGCTGTGCATCCTGGAAGAATGGATAACATCAGCAACAACCTCAAGGGAAGCTAAACCCCAGTAACAAGTTAAGTGAGCAATGCGTGCAGCTGAGATCCCAATGCCCAGCCAGCTGGGGACTGAGCCCCACGGGCCTCCTTACGGGGACTGGTAGAGACCTGTGGGGCTGCCACGTCCAAAGAGTGGGAAAAATCCATTGGATAAAGGACCCTCAACAAATAAATACCAGAAGGAGGGCCCTCTCTCAGACTCAGACTAAAAGACACAGTGAAATTCCATGTGCAGACTAACTGGATGCTGACCCAGCACCAACCACAAAAAGGCATTTTTGAGATGAATGGAGACAGCCGCCTATGGACCAAGTGTGACAACATACTCCGGGATCAGTGTCAGCCCCATGGGGTGCAATGTGGGCACCATGGCTGTAGGTTACATATGTTAGACACAAACCCAAGTGCTCACACTGGGTTTTCAGCTAAAACACTGCAGCAAGGAAAACAGAGTACAGTGGCAGCAGCACTAGGTGAAGTATGGGGGTGACTACTCGCTATTTCTGTGCATGGTTTAAAGTCCCAATTACACAAGTTAAAAGTTAATCAATGAGCCTGGCCGGCATGGCTCAGAGGCTGAGCATCTACGTATGATCCAGGAGACTGTGGTTTGATTCCCTGTCAGGGAACTTGCCTGGGTTTCTGGCTCAATCCCCAGCAGGGGGCATGCAGGAGGCAGGCAATCGATGACTCTCATCATTGATGTTTCTCTCTCTCTCTCTCTCCCTCTCCCTTCCTCTCTGAAATCAATGAAAACATACTTAAATTTTAAAAAAATCAATCAATGAATTACTGAGTAATTCATTGAGTATCTCGTTTCTGTGCAGGATCCACTCAGGGCTCCAACCAGCTGGGGTCAAAGCCAACTCCTTAGCAAGGTGGACACCACCAGTACCTGCCAGAGCCCTCTCCCTTCACTCACAGACCATGTGACAGTCTCCCAACACATGACCACCTCAAAGCCTTGGCACTGGCAGACCCCACACTCTCCTTCCCCAAATCTTGAGCTCTCAGATCTCAGAGATCCTGCTGGCTCACTCACCAACCCTGTGCCATCAGAAATTCCAGGGGAACTGTTTGGGTGGCCTGGCACCCTGTCACTAGTACAGTCTGGCACACAGTAGGCACTCACTTAACACTTTCCAACCCCTGGAAAACGCTGTCCCACCCTCCACCCCACTGCCCATTTTCTAGATGGCCAACTGAGGCCCATTTCTCCAACCCATCACTTCCCTGGCCTTACCATCTCGGAGAAACGTGTCAGCGAAGTAGAGGCAGCGCACCACACCCGAGAGGGAGTCATCAGCTGAGCGGGCCTCAATGCGGCGCTGCACGGGAGCCATTTCCACGTCCTGGGGGCAGGCCTGCTCTGCCAGGTGCGCGTTGGCCTCCTGCAACTGGAGGAGCATGGGGTTCCAGGACACAGTCTTCTCCCACACAGCCTCGCACCCCACATTCCATCACCCTCCCCAGCTCACCCTGATCCCCCTGGGGCTGCTGAGGGTGGGCAATAACAGGTGAGCAGACACAGGGTTCCCGGCCAGGGGCCAGTCCTGGCTCCATTTCTACACCACAGTCTAGGGAGGTGCTGCCTGGCAGCCTGGCCCAGCTCACCTTGCTGTTGGTATTAACAGTCCGTTTCTTGCCTGAGACTCGGCTCTTACGGATGCGCCGGAAAGACTGGCGCAGTGACTTCTTGAGCGACTTCACACGGGAGAGCGGCCCCTCCATGGCCAGGGAGTCATTGGGGTGAAGAGTGCACCTGGGGGCAGACAGGTGCTAGCTGTGCTACGGATCAGCCTCCTGGAGCAGCGGTGCTCCTGCTGGCCCAAGGGGCCAGGCATTAGGATCCCAGGTCAGGAAGCCCAAACCCCTCTCTGCGGCCCTGCCAACCCAGCAGCTGCTGGGCTTAGACCTCTATCAGCAGCACTTCACATAAGGTTGAAGCTGCCAAAAATGACAGAGCCACCTTCACCACACTGTATCTTACGGGGGAAACTGAGGCCTAGGTGGGAGTGAAGAAACACCAGAGGTCCCATAGGAGGTTGAGGCCAGGTGGAGATGCAGACCCCATCTCACCAGGCTCCGGATCCACACCCCACAAACCTGGCCAGCACAGGGCTCTTGCGCTGGTAGTCAAAGAGGCCAAAGCCATGACTGGTGCCAAAGGCCACGAGGCTCCACTCTGTGTGTAGCGTGACGGCAGTGACTGCAGCTGGTGGCAGACACTGAACCAGCACTCGGGGCTGGAAGCCAGCAGGCCAGGGCAAGGGACCGGTGCGTGGGCTCAGCCGCTCATGGCCCTTCCACGTGAAGCCCTCTCGGTCCTGGAGGAGGTCCACACTGGCCACGCCGACTGCCTGTTCTGACGGCACATCGCTGAGCTCCAGAACCAGCACCTGAGCACACAGCCAGGGCAGGAGAGGCATCAGCGCAGAGATAGGGCCACCCATGCCCCACCTGAGCCTACAAAGTCACTGCCAGGGTGGTCCTGGAATTGTCTCGTTTATCCATTGAATAAGCACTTATTGGATGCCTACTGTATACCGGGGCCTGCACAGAGGAACACAGACCAAGACCCACCAGTCCCTGCCCTGCTAGAGCAAAGTAACCCACCACCACCACACCTGTCTCCCATTTAGCAATAAGCACATGTAGAGTACCTTCTGTATCCTCTATGAGTGCTGGAGGAATAGCACTGACCAAGACCTGCTGGTCCCTGCCCTCCCGGGTTCATCTAACATCTGTGCTCCAGCCCTAGCCCTAACTCTCCATGGTTCCCTATAGCCAGAGCTTGGACTTAAGGCACCAACAACAGGCCCACCTGCTTGGCTGTCCTCACCCCAGCCAGCCCAACCTGGGGCCCCATTCCCACCTCTGGGCTTTTGCCCTTTCTGGTACCCTCTACTACCACTTCACCAGACCTTCCTCTTCCAAAAATCCCTCCAAAACCCCCAACCCTGGGACACCTTAGGCTTACCTGGCCTGCAGTGCCAGCCACCACCATCTGAGCTGTGTACTTGCAGAGTGCCACCTTCTGTACCCCGAGCCGGGGATCATCACTGTAGGGGTCAAAGCAGCCCACCTAGGAAGTGGGATGGAGTGATGACACAGGGCTAAGCAAGGACCAGGCTCCTGGGATTGGGGAGGGGCCCACCTTGCGGAAGGGCGGCCAGTCATCTTCGGTGGCCTGGGCCAGACTGTCGGCGTGCTCACAGTCTGTCTGGAAGAGGCCAGCTGTGCTCAGCTTGTAGAGCGGCCGCAGTGCCACGCCAGAGGCATCCCAGAACCTCACAGTGCCATCCTCGTGACTGTAGGGAGGAAGGCATCAGGCATACACCAGGTCCCTGCACATGCCTCCATCCACTCATGCCATAACCATCACTGAGCACTTACTGCCTAAGCCAAAAACTGCCCACACACCTACTGTATACAGCAAATAAGATACACCTACTGACTAGGCAGAAATACTAAGTGCCTACTATATGCCAGGCCACATGCACCTGGGCCCTTCAAAAAAGGTGAGGGGTATGGAAATAATCACCAGTGCGATGGGTAGGAAATGGAGGGAGGGGTGATCCAGGGCACAAAGGACGAGGGGTTCTGTCTTCACTGGGTCACCCAGAGAAAGTGATCAGGACTGTTAGGTGGTCACAGAGCCAAGGATCAGCTGGGACATGAGGCAGAAGCAGGAAGACTGGGAGGCCAGCAGGGAGAGGGAGGAAGAACAGGCAAATCTGGGGTGCAGCCTCAGATGGGAACCCCTGACATGAGGAGTGAGTGTGTGGGACTGGATGGGAAGCTCCCAGCAGCCCTGAAAGCCATGGTTAAGTTTTTCAAGCAGGAGGGGGAGGCAGAGTTGGAGGCCCAAAGATCCCAGCACAGAAAGGCAGCAGGGGCAGGGCAGGAAGTTAGGGTCTGAGTCACTGGGCACGTCAGCACCCGCCAGACCCAGGCCAGGCTCTCCAACACCTGCCCCGGGCTGCTCAGCATGGGCTGGCCCAGATTTTCCAGTCCCAGGGCAGACTAGGTGGGTGGAGCTCAGTTCCAGGCCAAAAGGCAGGGCAGGGAGGGGCTTGAATCAGGGTCTAGGGAAACTACAATCCCAACCCACCCTATTAAAGGGGTGACTGGGTCCCACCAAGGGCCAGGTCTGAGTCACTGGGCAGGTCAGCACCCACCTGGTCTAGGCCGGGCTCTCCCATACCTGTGTGGGCTGTACCTGGCCCCACTCGCCCACATACACACGCACACACATGTGTCACAACTGTGCTTGGCCATGAGACTAGGTCTGCCCTACCCAGTCAGCAGCAGCCCTCGTTGAGATGGTTCCTGGGCCAGGTTCCGGCCCCCGGTGATGGGCCAGCTCTGGGAGAGGAAGGCGAAGGCATCAGTGGAAGGTCAGGACAGATGTCCTCTCTTTCACCCTGGGATTACCATCTGGGCCCAAACTGCTTCTGAGTTCCCAATGTACACCTGGCACATTCCCACCTCCAGGTCTGTGCGTGGGCAGTGCCCTTCACAAGGAACACCATCCCCCACAAGGTCCTGCCCAGCACCGTGCCCAGGTACACACCGAGGCACTGGAGGCAGGCTGGGGGCTCTGCTGTTCCCCAGCGCTCACAATGCGGGCCCACAGCTTGGCAGGGACATTGGCAACATGGGCCGAGCACGTGATAGCAGACGAATGCAATGGGGCCAGGTACGGAGCAGGCACAACTGGCCAGCCGGGCATTTGCAGGTCTAACACCACCAACTCTTCTTCGAGCAGCACAGCCAAGGCCTGGGGCTCGTCAAACTCTGTGGGATAGGGGCATGGTAAGGAGCATGGCCACAGGCAGCGCTGGCAGGGTGGGGGAGGGCAACTCACCATCCTCTGGTCGCGTGCTGTGCACCGTGAAGAAGTCAATGATGCGGGAGGTGAAGTCTAGTGTCACCAGGGTGTCAGCCCGGAGCACACTCACACAGTGGCGGTCACCATAGCTGGCACGGGGCATGCCGCCACTGAAGATGATAAAGTGGCCCCTATACAGGGGTTGGGGAGTGATGTGAGCCACCTGGGCCTGGAGCATATACTGTCCAACCCAGAGAGCATCACAAGCCAACCCTGAGCCCCAGAGCCCAGGCTCCACCCCCAGCCAGACACAACCCAACCCACACCTGAGACCCAACTCCCCACCTACCCAGATTCACAGTTTCGCCACAGAATCTTATTGATGGCTTTGCAGGGGAAGGGGCCTGGAAGGATAGGACAGTGTCAGGCTCATTTACTTGCCAGGACTAGAAGCACCTCAGGTCACAATTCTCACTCTTTCTCCCATCCTGCCCACATCACTCCCTGCCTCAAAGCTGCTTCCTGCCTCCCCAAGGGGAAGGCCCACTGCCCCTAACCATATACCTCGCAGTGGGAGAGGGAGCTATCCTTTGCAGATTTGGCCTGGCACCACCACCTTCCACAAGTCCTCCTGGATGCCCCCACAAAGGCCAGGCAGCATGAGTGCCTGAGCTTGGGATGGATCCCCGTCAACCCTTCCCTCAGTCTGCCCAGCACTCACCATAGGGCATGGTGGCCACTGTAGGCTGCGTGACTGGGGAACCACCAGTGTCCGCAGACCAGATGGCGTAGCTGCCATCGCTGTGGGAGCTGACCAGCGTGCTGCCACTACGTTCCCAGCACAGGCTCTCCAGCTGCTGTGGGGCAGGGCAGATGGGCATGAACAGGCAGCCACAGTACAGGGCCCTGGCTGTGGGCACCAGTCTCCCACACAAACCTGGTTGCCCAGGAAGACACGGTCTGCACACTGCGCTGCCTGGTTCCAGATGACCAGCAGGCCCCGGCTGTAGCCAATGAGGATCTTGGTGGGGTCCCGCAGGTGTCCCTGCAGGGACTCCACAGGGCCCAGTGCCTTCCCACACCGGTAGTCATCTGGCAAACTGCAGAGGGAGCACAGGTGAGCCAGCAGGAGCACTGCCCAGGCACAGAGCGGGTGTGGGAAGTCCACCTGCCTCTCACCTTCGCAGAACCTCGTCAGGGCCAAGGGTCTGACCCTCAATCAGCATCAGGGTGGAAACATCCAGGAAGAAGACGCTGCCACCCTCTGTGCCCAGAGCTGCCATGTTGCCAGCAGCCACAAGCAGGACCACTGTGATGTGGGCAAGGGTGGGCGGGCCACTATGGGAGATGAGGGGAGGTGGGTGAGGGTGTGGGCCCATTCACCTGCTGAGGAGGGGTGCAGAGGGTGCTGGTGAACTGCTACTCCTAGATAATTATGGTCCCTGCGCTCACTGGGGCCTGATTATCCACTGGGCTGGCGAACTGGGAAGGCAACCGTGGTGGCATCATAATTAACTCCCTCAATTATTCATCAGGATGTCAGTGGGGAGAGGGATAAGTATAGGTTCCCAGGTCTTGGAGGTGGGTTCCAAGCCCCTCCTACCCACCAGGAGGGAAAGGCAGGAACCAGGCTACTGCCTAGACCAGAAACAGGAGGTCCAAGACACTCTGCTGCTCCCTGGAGCATCCTATCAGCACCTCACACAGCACAGCCTGGCAGGACACTCCTTGCCCCCAAACTTGCCCTTTTACCTGTACACACTATGGTCTGTCACCTCAGCACCAACTAGAGACACCAAGAGATCCTTGCTAATGTCAGTTCAGCGTAGACCTGGCCCGTACCCCCAGACACCTCTGCCATTGCAGGGAGCACAGGCCACCCATCAGGTATGGGAAGTCTGAGACACAATGCACACTGGCCCATCCTGCATCTCCTGGTGTTGCAGTGATTCTGGAGCATAAACCCCACCTGCTCATCCAGGCTTAGCCAGAACTTCCCTCTAACACCAGCCAAGTCCATGTAGCACTTCTCAGTGACGAGGGGTCCAAAGGCTGCCTTTTGGGACCCAGGCTAAGCTCAACATACCCTGCCACCCTAACTAGGCAGCTTTCCATCCCTACCACACCTTTGCAAGGCTGGCTGCCCCATGCCCAGTGGCTGGTCCCAGCCAAGTCCACCAGTACCTGGCACCATCAAAGCCCAGCCGACTGGGCAGCTGAAAGCTGAGTGTTTCCTCCAGGTGAGCACAGCCATTATGGTGGATGATCTCCCAGAGATGCAGACTGCTGTCATCCAGCAGGGTCAGGAGGCGGCCCTAGAGGGTGTGCAGAGACCAAGACTAGGCTGGTGGGACTTGGGAAGAGGGAGGGGAGGCCTAGGGTCCACAAGCCAGCCGGCTGGGGCAGAGGCTCACCTGGCCAGGTAAGAAGTGCATCTGGGTGACCGTGGCCATTTCTCGGTGTAGGCCAGTGAATTCCACACCAGGTGCACCGTAGCTAAAGACAATGGGTCAAGGACAGAAAGCAGCAGATACAGACTGAGATGCCCAAGCCTCCTCCTTCTTTAGGATCATTCTGATAGGTCCCAGTCAGGCCTGCCAATCCAGGAGCCCTCCAAGTCCAGGTGGGCCCCCTCCCTGAAGAAGCATGGCCCGGCACCCCCAAGTTATCCTCAAGCTCAGAATGCAGGCTCCACTCAGCTTCTGCAAGTGATGCTGAAGTACGACCTTTACATCTTCATCTACAACATGGGGTAGTGACTCCCACCTTAGGGCTGACCCTGGGCAAGTGAGAAAAAAAAACATGCTCAGCACACATGGCCCAGGCCTGGCACATGGCCAGGCTCCACTCTACATCAGCCTCAGGAGGTCTGTGTGCACAAGAGCTGGCCCCGCAGCCGGATCACACAGACAGAGATGCCAGGCCAGGTCTGGGCAGGAAAGCCCAAAGCAGAGAAAAGTCCAGGCTGCTTCTTCCCACTGCTTCAGGCCCAATTCCAGCCATGGGCAAGGAAATCAACTTTCCTCTGGGGCAGGCAAGCAGGCAGGCAGCGGCCCCCACTGAGAGAAGAGGCCGAGGCCTGTCCATTTTACAAACCAGAACACAGAGGCTTGAAGAGGTTGGGTGATCTGCTTCAAGTGCCTGGCATCGGTACCAGAATCCCAGCAACTCCAGGTCTGACAGTGGACAAGTAGGGCCTAAGGGGCCCCTGGAGGAGAGGGCAAGGGAGAGGTCAGCAACGTTGCCTGGGACAATGCAGGAGCCAGGCGGTTGCTTGGAGCTGGAGTTAGGATTCCCTGCTGGAGCTGGGAGAACACAGAAGAGGGGACAAAAGAGGGGGCAGGAGTGTGGGCAGGAACCAGAGTCACCAAGGAGACAGGGGGAGGGGCGGCTTCTGTGTCCAAGGCCGCTTTCTCAAGCCTCAGTTTCCCAGCCCAGGGGTGGTTAGGGGGCAGGAAGAAGGGACCGGGGGAGAGCTCAGGCCTCCTCTCAGGCTCTCCTGGTCTGTACAAGTTCTTTGTAAGCATGAGGAGCCAGTGCCCAAGAAAGACCAGGACCCAGGAGGGCCAGCTCAAGAGGCTAATAGACCCATGGCACCGGCACTGTGAGACACCAACTGCAGGAACATGATGCACGTGTGGGGCAGGACAGCACTTGAGGGCTAGGAGCAGCAGTCCAGGAAGTGGGTGTTGATGGTGGCCGGGAGAACTGGGCCCAGCCACACCCCCTAATGTAGGCAAGCTCACCAACTGCAGACCCAGATGCCCACCCCTGCCTGGCCAGTGCCCTGCCCCCATCCCTTCTCTCCCCTCTCATTTTGTGCCATCCAATGTCCCCATCGAGGACACTGAGACCCAGAGGGTCACATGCGGAGGGGTGGAGGTGGGTACCCCACACCAAGCAGCCACCAGGCATCTCGGTTTGCCTGAGTGGGGGGCAGGGCTTCACTCAGGCAGTGGAGGTGGGATGCTCTGTGCCAGGCGAGAAGGAGTTCAGCTGTCCGCCTGCCCCAGCCCTCCCAGCACTGCCGGAGAAAATGCCCGCTTTGTGCCACACACACAGCCCATTGTGCAACTGCCAGCATCCAGGTGGGGGCTGAGCTGCGCTCACCATGCTGAGCCTGGCACTTCCCCAGCCCCTCGGCTAAACATGTGTCTCACAATCATACACGTATGTGTGCCCAGTCACCAGGGAAAGGCCCTGTGTGACCCTGGTCAACCCACCAACCTAAATAGGTACCAAGACTGACTAGCCCCTTGGCCCAGCCACCCTAGTCATGGCTGGGACAATCAACCCCAGCGTCGCCTAGGTAACTGGCTGGCTGAAATGCAGCAAGGGAGTAAGGGAGTACCCCACCCCCACCCCGTTATCTCTGTGAGCAGGTATCTCAGGGCAGAAGCTACATCAGCCTCCAGCAAGATCCAGATACCTTCCCTGGCCTCCCAGGCTGGGCGCTGCTCAAGGAGCCCAGCACACAGGGAGCTGCAAGCAGGTGGTCCTCACAGTCCCAAAGGCTGTGTCCCGCAAAGGATACATCTTGACGGCCCCAGACCTGGTGCCAATGGCCATGATGCGAAGCTCGGGGTCAAAGGCCAGGGCGCTGGGCTGGTTTGGGAAGCCATGCTCCACGGTCTGTAGGGTGAGGGGAGGGCACTTGCACAGGCTTGGCTGCCCCGGCCCACCCTGAGGCCCACCCCAAGGCAGCCTTCAGGCTCTGCTGCACCTTGTTCCTAGAGGCACAGACTGAAGCTTGGTGAGGCGTCATGCTGTCTGGGACCCCCGTGAAGTCCATGGCATTCCCCAAACACAGACCCCATGTGGAGGTCAGAAGTCAACACCCAAGGTCACCTAGGCAGAGGCTCTTGACAATCTGCCCAACCCCCAGAGTCAGAGACAGGGAGACTGAGGGCCAGAGGAGCTTCCTGATCAGTCCCTGAAGGTGTCACCCACTTACCAGACTTGGGTTCCCCAGCTGAAAATTGAGCAACATGACCCCCCACCCCCATCTGTGGTGGGGATGGTGTGAAGAGAGCCTGCGCACGGGGTGGTATTAATGGAATGGCTTCCACTGGAGTTCTCTGCTCCTGGCAGGGCCAGTCCCAGTGTAGACTGGTGCCAGCTCCACCAGCCTAGCTTGGGCTTTTCTCCGTTGCCCGCCTACCCAAAAAGTTCATACTTATCCCCTGAGGCCTAGTTGGGGGGGCCTCTCCCTGGGAAGCCTACACTCCCAACCCCATGTCCTTAACACCAATGTAGGATACTACCTGTGGGTCACAGGTACCTCCTGACCACTATCTCAGCAAGACACACATTTTGTACGAAACCTTGATAGCCCTGGTTGGGTGGTTCAGTTGGTTGGAGCATCGTCCAGGACACCAAAACATTGCAGGTTCCATTCCTGGTCAGGGCACATACATAGGCTGAGGGTTTGATTCCCAGTTCGTACACATACAGGAGGAAAACAATTAATGTTTCTCTCCCCCCCCCCCTTCCTCTTAAAAAAGAAAAAAAAGAAACCCTGATGCCCAGGCCTGTTGCCCCAGCCTCCCTCCTGCCTCAATTCATCCAGGCAGGGGCTGAACCCTCTGGACAATTGGCTTGGCCTTGGGCTAGTCAGTCTTCTCCAAGCCTTAGTTTCCCATCTGGGCACTGGGGGCAGTGAGTCTACCTGAAGATACAGTTGACCATTTGACTGAGGGTGGAGGGCAACTTCCCTTTCCCACCAGCACTGCCATGCCAATGCTGGATCTGACCGTGTCTGGCCAGTCCCCTCCTCTGTTCAGGAACCCTCCTGCCCCCGTGGCTCCCAGCTTACTAGAGTCAAAGCTCAGTCCTCACATCTGGCCCTTGTCTTCCTCCTTCCATTCTCTTCCCTGCTCACCTGACTGCAGGCCCATTGGCCTTTTGATCTCCTCCAATTTACTAGGCAGGTTCCTGCCTCAGAGCCTTTGCCTCTACTATCCCTCTACTTGGAATATGCCTCACCCAGCACTCCCCAGCACTCAGGTCTCAGTTTAGGCATCAACTCCTCAGAGGGGCCCCTAAACCACCGACTATAGCAGCCATCCTCGCTCACATGCTCCAGGCCCTCACCCTACTTTATTTTATCCATAGCACTGACCACCATCCAAACTGTTGCATATTTTACTCTTCTGTGTTTGTTTTAAATCCTCTCCCGATGATATTTTTGCCATTGCTTTTCAGAAAAAGTGGAAGAGAGAGAGAGAGAGAAACATCAATGTGAGAGAGACACATAGATTGGTTGCCTCCCACACGCACCCCGACCAGGGCCGGGGATTGAGCCGGCAACCAAGTTATGTGCCTTTGGCCGGAATCAAACCTGGGACAATTCAGTCCGCAGGCCGACGTTCTAACAACGTAGCCAAACAGGCTAGGGCCTTATGGTTTTGTTTTGGCTTTTCACTGTCTCCTCCGCTAGGAAATCAACTCTCTGAGTGAAGACATATTTGTCCCTTTTGGTCACTGCAGTGTCTCCACTACCTAGGAGAACTCACACACAGTAGAAGCTCAGTATTTGTTGACACAGAGTGGACATCCCACAGGCAACTTGTAGACAGAAATGGGATGTAGACCCAAGACTGAGTCCAAAGTTGATGTTTACCTCCGAGAACCCCCACTACAGAATTTGGGGTCTATTCTCATTTTACTTTGGGGGGGTCTATTTTTTTTTTTTTTTTTTTTTTGGGGGGGGGGGGAG